CAAGGTATACAGAAGCTGGAAATATTTTTACATTGATCCATACATGTACACATAAAAATGTTACCTGTCTATAAACTCACTTTATTAAGACATATCATACTCTTTAAGTTTTTTTAACGTGTTTAGATATCCAAGTGAAACAAGCTTAATTCATACATTCAAACCCAAGTTTTCATTTAAAGGGGTCCTGCCGTTATCAGCGTGCAATGAATCTTGGGAGGTTCGAGGCCGCGAAGGATCCACCAGTTGTGTCCTTCATTACCTGGGAAACGAAGGACACATTTTAAGGCTGCGATTGAAGGAGCCTTTTAATTTTTTTTTGAATGAGACAGTCTTAGTCGCGTCGCGATGACGCAGAACACTTCAAATGCATCCTTCGGAGGATGCAGCCTCTGAAATGAGACAGCTATTGTGTACTAATACTGATGGAAAATGAAAAGTTGCTATTTTCTAGATTGATATGGCTATAACATTCTGGCGTAATAATCAAGGAAACTTGCTGCCGTACTATCGCTGCTGCAGGCCCAATGATATTATGCAGCACCTGAAAATAGTCCCCTGCTACTTGTTAACAGTGTTGCTTAATATCTTTTACTCCTGATGAAGCAGATGCAACTTTACATTTTCCATTGTAAATACAAATTTGGCCCGCCATCCCATCTGAAAAGAAAACAAGAATAATGGGAAGATGGTTGGGTCGAATGCCTTTGACAGTGATCGTCATTTCGAATGTAATGTAACCTTTTGTTTTTTATTTTTCTTTATTGCTTTGCTACAAAAAAAGCCAATTGAAATTAATTAGTCAATTAAATATTGTAAACAAATCTTTTAAAATGTAAATACTGTCACTTGACGGATGCACAAAACATCTGCGAGCAAATTACAGCAAGCTCGACTAATGTATTCAGCACTGAACTTGTGTTATAAATGGGATTTTTTATATTTTACTGTAATAAGTTCATTATTAGGTGACGCGGTGGCGCAGTAGGTATTGCTGTCGCCTCACAGCAAGAAGGTCCAGGTTCGTGCCTCAGCTGGGTGAGTTAGCATTTCTGTTTGCATGTTGAGTGCATGCTGAGTTTGCATGTTCTCCCTGCTTTCGCGTGGGTTTACTCTGGGTGCTCCGGTTACCCCCTCAAGTCCAAAGACATCTGGTATACAGGTAAATTGGGTAGGCTAAATTGTCCGTAGTGTATGTGTGTGAAAGAATGTGTATGGGTGTTTCCCAGTGATGGATTGCGGCTGGAAGGGCATCCACTGCATAAAACATATGCTGGATAAGTTGGCGGTTCATACCGCTGTGGCGACCCCAGATTAATGAAGGGACTAAGCTGAAAAGAAAATGAATGAATGAATGAAGTTCATTATTAAATGTTACAAATGATACTGCATTAGTCAAAATGTTTTTTAGGTAAATATTACCAAATAAATTTGAAAATTACCCATGGCAAATTTAATAAATATAATTTGGTATATATTCAGCTCACAGCCCTCAATAAAGTTTGCTATTTTGCCCTTTATAGGAAAACGTTTGGGCACCCCTGGTCTAATCCAATTTAATTATTTATGCTAAGCTAAGCTTAGCTAAAAGCAACTGAATAAATCAAAGAATGGTCAATCTCAATTGTTTAACTTTAGGTGACTTGTAAAATAAGCTCTTTTCCAAAAATAAGTGGAGTGTCCCTTAAACAGAAGCTTAAAAAAAGAAAAAAAAATATTGAAAAGACTTACCATTCCCTGTTTGTATAGTCCATCTAAAGGTTTTTTTTTCTAATCTCTCTCCAGAGTTGCTCAGACTGTGCCAGAGATGAACTGGAGCATTAACAAGCTGAAATGCTGCTCGTGTGTTTCGCTTACACAAACCTCAAGCTTACTGGGGCAATACAGCCAAACAAACCTTCTGCCATATTTTACAGCCTTTGAGTTGTCAAAACCCCAGGCAGATCAATAGGTCGGGTGGCAAGATCACACACAGGTTAGTGAATGTGTGAGGCGCCAAACTAACAACTCAACCTGGAAGGTTGTCCTTGGAGATGTTTATGAGGAAATTTAGCCTTTGTGTTTTGAGAAAGTGATGACTTTAGTTTGTCCTTTTGGTGAAGCTGTATTTTATTTTATTTATTTATTTATTTTTTGTTTCTGAATCAGTGTAAATGGTTGCAAACGATCTTAAAATAGTTTTGGTGGTAAAAAAAAAACAGTTGAAAAAAAAACCATTGACATCTGGTACAGATAAAATACAATTATTTATTGAAAAAAATATTTTAAAAATATTATCTAATGCAAACTTCAAGAAAAAAATTATTAATTAAAATTTTTTATAATGGTTATATATATATATATAGTTGAGGGCAGAAATATTAACCTACCTGAATTAATAGCCCCACTGTTTATTTTATTCCCCTCCCCCCCTCCCCCCATTTCTGTTTCTTCAACACATTTCTAAACATAATAGTTTTAATAACTCATTTATAATAACTGATTTATTTAATATTTGCCATGATTACAGTATATAATATATATTTTTCAAGACACTGCCATATATTAGATATAGTATAAAGATGGTTTGTTCTGTAGACTATCGTAAACAAACAAGCTTAAAATGGGTTAATAATTTTGATCTTAAAATGGTTTTTAAAAATTTTAAAACTGCTTTTATTCAAGCCGAAATAAAACAAATAAGGCTTTCTCCACAAAAAAAATACACACACACACACACACACACCAGTCAACTTGATCAAATGAAATGAGTGTAGTTAACTCAAAATTTATTGAAAGTTAATTCTACTTATTTGAAAAGAGTCTTGAACTCAGTGTTGAAGGTAAAGAGTTAATTAAACACCTCATTACTTCAACTTAAATGGATTAAGTTCACAGTACTTATTAGATTAGTATTTTAACTCAAATGGTTTATTTCAATCTGCTTCCTCAAATGATTTTAGTTGCCTTAACTTATTGGGATTTACAGTACTCAGTTGGTTTGAGTTTTCTTCGTTTATTGGGTTTTACTGTGCTTAATTTGCTTCGTTTACTTAAATGGATTAAGATCACACTACTCATGAGGATTAGTTTTTTAACTTAAATGGTTTGTTGCAATTGTTTTTCTCAAATGGTTTGAGTTATCTTAACTTTTTTGGGTTTACAGTGTACATATATATTTATGAAATAGCCACTTGGATGAAGACTTTTTAATGAATCTAAAATAATCTTAAAATATCATTTTTTTCTATATATTAAAATGACTGCATTTGTAAGCTAACTGTTTGGTGTACTGAAGTGTGGGAAATATATTTTTAATATTCTAAATTATTACGACATATTTCCAGTGCAGTCAGTTTGGAGGCGTTAATGACATCTGCTGGTGTGGTTCTCTAACTTCCTTCTGATCCGACAAAATTGCAACGTATGCAGATGTCTAGAATGTGATTATATAGATCAGTGAGTGAGTATTAACCATTCCTTAATGGATTTGACCAAATTTGCAGGTGGAGTCCTTCTATTGCAGTCTTTCTACCTCTTGCTGTTTCTTTGTAATTAATTGTCAGTTTGTGACCTGGAATTAATTGCAAGGTAATTATGTGTGTGTTTTTTTTTTAGAAATTCATTCATTCATTCATTTTCTTTTTGGCTTAGTCCCTTCATTAATCTGGGGTTGCCAAAGCCGAATGAACTGCCAACTTATCCAGCATATGTTTTATGCAGCAGATGCCCTTCAAGCACTACCTACTGCATCACTGTCAGCGTTTTTAGAAATGTACATATTTATTAATTTTTATATATTATAGTAAAACAATGCCGAGACTACAAATATTAACCTTCATTTCTTGCAGTAATGAAAATTAATTCAGAATTTTACTGTGATATTGGTTGGTCATTCTTTAGATCTTTTATAACCAAATTCAACCAATTTTACTAAATATTGATTGCTTATTTTAATTACAAAACAAAACTGTTTACTGATATGCATTTATTTCATTTTTATTCCAGAATAGTTCAATAGTTTAAAGTGTTTTTTTCCTAATCATTGTAAAATATATTTCATTGTGAATTGTGAATGGATATCAAGCAAAGCATGACTCCTGAGTCCTAAATGCTTTCTGTGTCACCGTTGCATTATCAGGAGCCACAAATATTTATTGCCTGTTTATGGTTTTTTGAACTCCTAAAGTGCTGGTAGCCATTGACTTCCATCTTATGAACCACCAGGAGCTTAAAAAATAAGTTCTTATGAAGGGGGGAAAGTCGCACATATGACTTGGACTGAAAATCCATGGAAATGGATTGAAGGTGCGTAAATTACTATTAATCTTTTAGAATTATGAATTTAAGTACCCATATTCCATTCCAGTCACATGGTTCCAGTCCGGTTTTTGTCTCTACGTTTACCAATTTTGTCTAAAATATCAGTGACTATTATATGATTTATACGTTTAACTGTTCGATATTCCAGTAGCACGGTTGTTTACATACAGATATTCGCATCATAAACGCAATCTAATAGGCTATGCTTATATATTGAAAAAACAATTCTCCAAAAGAGCTGTTATATCATAAATAAACCCGGTAATTCCTCACATCAAAATGCCTCCTATCAAAACATTCGCTTGTACAAACACACACACACACACACACACACACACACACACACACACACACACACACACACATCAGACGGAGGAGTTCCCAAAAAAATCATCGTCCATGTCTCCTTCAGTGCGCAGCCCCGTGTTTCTGTCCTCCTGCTGCTGCAGCTCGCGGCTGTTCAAACATTCGAGATCTCTCTTCTTCTCTCTCTCTCTCTCTCTTTCTAAACACAGCGTCTTACCAAGAATGTCAGCCGTCTAGGTCTATGGTTTGTTTAAAGTCTGAATCTGTTCTCTTTAAGTCTGAGCTCGGTTATCAAGGAGACCATATAGGTATTTCTTAGTGTGAGTAAAGTCAACATCTGAGTCTTGTGTGTCCGCGCGCTCGCCTTCAGTCAATCTCGCGCTCCGCGGGCACGGGACTATCAGCGGTCCGCAATCTTCTCCTCAGCGGGAATGGATATTGGGTCTTTCCTCTCCTTTTACCCTTGAATGGACCAAGAATTAGAGAGGTCTGCTCGATTTATGCTTCTGTTTGTTTTGAGCTCCTTTTCAAGTTCGTTTTCTTGCTAGCGTTCGACTCCAAACTTGTGGGAATGATGGACAAGGACGGGCTGGTTGTGGTGCTAGTTTTCTTAAACGTGTTTTTGATTCACTCGGATGCGTTCAAAAGAGATACCGCGGAGAGACATTCGAGATCTGAGGGGGGTTTCTGTCGGATATTGCGGACGCAGGCGCGGAGCGCTCGGCGAGACGGACAGAACGAGTTTCGCCTCAAAGTTGAAGGAGAGCCAGAAACTTACCAACCCGGGAGCACCTACAGAGGTTAGAGGGCACTGAATAGTGCTTCATAGAATATTTATGATACTGTGAATGCAGCTTAGTGCACAAACAGCTTGTGTGGAGTTTGTAAACATTGGTGCGTAAAGCGTCATCTTTACTGTTCAAAGGTTGACTCTGACACTAAAAAAACGTTTTGTATGGTGACCAAGTATGACATATATTATGAAAAAATGCGTTTAGGAGTACCTTAGTATTTCTTGTTATTCGTTTAAGATTTAAAACTAATTTTCAGATTTGTCTGCTGCAACTAGGTACGTTATACATAACATGACCATGTGAATTAGTGTAAACAGATGTAATCTACTGTACATATGTGTATACTGTCATGTTAACAGAAAAGTTGGATATTTTCTTTAATATTACAGCTATGAGTTTAAAACTCACTGTCAATTTGTTTATGACATTTTCTTTTAAAATATGAAGTTAATATCCTTAAAATTAAGGATCCTTAAATTCTTTAAAATAGCAGCCTTCAATAAAATCGAGAAAAAAAATACATTAAGTGTATTAGTTTTGCCTTGTTTTATTTGTATAGTAGCAAAAGGTCTTCAAGCTTAATGTCTTGTTTATTTGTTATTATTTTCCTTTTTCATTCATTCATTCAAAGATTAAATATATGAAACACAACAATCAGTTAAAGGGAGAGTTCAACCAAAAACGAGAATGTACCAACATTACTCTCCCTCAAGTGGTTCCAAACCTTTACACAATTCTTTTTTTTTTCTGTTGAACACAAAGGAAGATATTTTGAAGAAAGCTGAATACCTGTAACCCTTGACAACCAAAGTAGGAAACACAAATACTATATGGAAGTCAAAAATGTTTACAGGTTATAACATGTTTTCAAAATATCTTACATGAAATAACAGGAAAAAACTCATAACGGTTTGAAAGAAGTGAAGAGAATTTACCTTTTTTTTTTTTTTTTGGGTGAACTATGTAAACTCAGATACGCTCGGCAATTTAACATCCACTGTAATATGGTTTTCAGTCAGATATACATTGACTACTTTCAAAGTGTCTTATAAATGCTTTGTTTCTTTTACACAATGCTTTTACTATCACTACATAAGTGGAGTGGTTATTAATAAGATTAAAAATTACTCCTTTAAACCTACCTAACCTTTAGATAGATTTATTTTACAATAAAACTTGTGGAATAGTTTAATGATTAAACACTCATTTACTGTTCCTCTCGAGATGAGTTTTACATTAGTTTCAGTACCAAAACACTCCATAACTTGCCATTTGGTTCCATGTAAGTGGCCTTCATTAGACAGCAGATGTCTTTTTATGGGTTTTATGCCCAGCGTGTTTGTACATGCATATGTATTCACTGCTCAATGGGAAAAGCACTCGCACAACCCACACGCTTACACGCAAACATACGTGCCAAATGCGAGAGCAGTTTGCGACTTGCCCTGGCACACTGTTGAGATCTGACCTACTGTTAAGCCCATTTCTGGTACCTCTGACCTATATTTTCTTCTCTCTCCAGTGAGTTTGTATGCCTCCAGCCCATCATACTTTCGTGGTTTTACCCTCATTGCTCTGAAGGAAGGAAGGGAGGGCGTGAGTCCTGACGATTATGCTGGCACTTTCAAGGTGAGGGATTGCATTGACCCTGTATAACTTGCCTTGAACTGTGGCAGTCAAAGATGACAGTCTAATTGCAGTCTCCCTGTGAAATGATTTGCAGTTTATCTGCACGTCTGTATTTAGACTGGGTTTATTTTTAGGAAGATAATGACCATTTTAACCTTTTTGTGCATGAGTTATTGAACAAATATTTTAGATAAAAAAACATATTTGCACCAAAGATTAGGTATTATGACATTAAATCAATGTTTTATTAGTTGTAGTTTTGGGGTTTATGTTGGGTGAGAGACCTACATGTAGGGATTTAAAACTGCCAAAGTTTTTTGTTATACTTTTGGGTTTATGCAAGTTTTTTATTTTGTTTTTTATGTTTTTCACAACTATTTTATTTTGTTTTCTATCATTGTCATAAATGATCATAAAGAGATTACAAATTATGATATTTTAAGATGTGGAAAGGAAAATCTGGATTTTCTTTTTTCCATGGTTTGGAAAAGTCAAGGTTTTAAAACTGCCAAAGTTTTCTGTTTTACCCTTCCTAAGGTTTATGTAAACTTTTTTACATTTTTTTCACAACAATTTTATTTTATTTTCAATGGGGGAAACAAGTTGTTGTTTTTTACCCGGATATTTAAAAAAGTAACTTATTTTGGAGCAGAAATCACAATACCATGATATGGTGAAACTGATATTTTCATCCAAGGTTATCATATCAGAATCTTATACTGGCCCAGTATAGTACAGTACATCTATACTTTTATTTACTTTTTAAAATAATATTTGTAATTTTATAATTTATATTTAGTTTATATTTATATTTAACTAAATATGTAAATATATAATGACTATATTTTTCCATGATTTACTGAAGACGTCTGCTATGTGCTACGACATATTTTGATCAAAACTCTTGATGATTAACCACCCAGGAATACTAATTAATTTGTATTTAAACTATTCACATAATAGGTTTTACCCATTTGTCAGCAAGAGTTTTTAATGTATAAAATGTACTAAAATTCACATATTCCTTTCAATTTTCTTAAATAATTAAAGTTTATAATATGTGTGTTGTTGATTTCTTAGTATAAATATGTCTGTCAGGCTTATTTTTAGTTTTGACCCATATTTTGACATTCTATTTTAGCAATAGTAAAAAAACAAATCTCTATAAAACACTTTCCTTGAATTTAATCTGCATTCTATCTAGGTAAGATAACTGTTGTAGGTTAAATTTAATGATAAAATGAATAAACACCTTCACTGCATTAATTAATAAAGCAAACAAAACACACATTAAGTTAAAAAAAAATTAAATTAAAGTTTTTGCTGGGTTGCACAACTGTATTTTGATGTAAATTGTTGTAGAACACAATATTCTTTATCACTTTTGTACATAAACTCTACATTAAAAAGTTGATTTCATTAACATTATCATAAGTAGATGTTAGAGATGGATGTATCGATTTACCTTGATTCAGTTGAAAATCAATTCTAATATGTGACCAATACAAATGTTGAATGAGTTGCGATGCATGTTTTGAACAGAGGAGGCACAAACTCGCTTTACTTGCACATTGGCGGTAAGCAAGTGCGCCAAACAACTACAAATTGTGTGCAAATACACCAAAAAGACTTTTAGTTACACTAGCAGAACAACAAATATGATTCAGCACAGTAAAAAACTACTGTCACGGATGTCTATAAGCAAAAAGCTGTTAATAGGCCAAACCATGCTAACCGGAGGATTGACAGCTCCACTTGCAATGATAAGTGCTACGAAGATCACCCGATGCCTCAGTGTTTTAATAACAAAAGCGTGAAGATGTTTTTTATGACTGAAAGAGAAAGCAGTGCTGTTAAAGATTCAGGTATTAGATTGCTCCTTTTTACTATCTCTTTAAATGTAGTTTATGCATATTTAAATAATTTGCTTATTCAGTATTTTATGTCAGTGGCCAGTCCCCTGGAGCAGAGGGCCTATTGACCACCTCTGTAATCACTGCTTTCTGGTTTGGGAAAGGCTTTCCTCTCCACACCAGCCATCTCAGTCACCAGTGAAAGAGTTTTTTCATCAACAAGGGACATTGATAATGTGCAAAGATCTCAGCTTATGCCAAAAAAAAAAAGATATTCTGATATTTCTTTAAAAAAAAAAAGTAAAATCCCTGCTCAGTCACATTTTTAGTTTGAATTAGTGAGCCTTTTTAATTTGTATTGTTCATTTTTGTTTTGGAATATGTTTTAAATTTGTTAGGTAGCTGCACAGTCAGAGTTTTAGTTTGTTTATACCAAAGACTCTTCTTTAGTTTGTATTATTCACTTTTTTATTTGGATTTTGTTGTAAAATTCCAATTTAGTTATTGCAGAATTTTTTTTAATTTTGTTTTAAAAGTGCAGCATTTAAGAAAAAATGAAAGGGCTCTTGTTCACCTTAAATTTGTCTTAAATAATTTTCGTTAGATTAGTATTGTAAGTCCTAACGAATTGTGAGTCATGTGAATCGTTACATCCCCAGTAGATGTCAGAAATAACTGTATTAAGTTTTTTTAAATTACAATTTTTATGTTACTGTTTAAAGTGCACCAAGTGATTTTTTCAATATTATTATTATTATTATTATTATTATTACAGTTTTTTTATTTCAAACACCAGATAACTTAACAGGACCTTGCCCCTTTCTTATATCTGGACACTGAAGTCAAAAAATGCGTAGGGCAACTTTAAATGGACATTTAATCCAAAAATCAGAAATTCTGCATCATTCACATGTTAAAAACATCTTCCATCTGTTAAACACAAAACATTATTTGAAGGTTTGAAACCTTTAGCCATTGATATTGAAAGTATTTGTTTTTTGCTTGACTGTTGACGTCAATAGCTACCAGTTTCCAAAATACTTTGCTTTGAGTTTAAATTAATGAAAAAGTTTGGAACAACTCGAGGTTGAGCAAATAATGAGTGAACTTTCATTTCTAGTTGAACAATCCCTTTAATATACATAATTTTGATGCAAAAAACAAATAACCACGTTCTTGTTCTGAAATCAGCTGTTTATAATTTGCATAGTCATGTATCAAAGGCTTAATGAGGAACGCTGCCAAATGCAACCACACCTAAAGTGTTTTGAAGCTTTCAGATCTGCCTTTTGCCAGTGAGCAGAGCTGTGTGAAGTTGTCAGACATGCTGCTCTTCATTGGTAACGCACTGGCCGTCTCTGAAAGACAAGACCCCTATCATTTAGTGCTCTCCACATCAAGCCGCAGTGCTTTCCAGACTGAAGCAGGAAGGCTGTTAGCGCAGCTTCTCTCCCCCCAGATCTCATTAGCTGTGGCTGCCGATCGCCACTCCTTACCGCTGTGTTTTTCAGCGCTCAGATTGCATGGCGGATGTTAACAGGCGTCCTCTGCTGAGGTCTTTAACTGGGGATTTTTTTGTCTTGACAGGCTAAATTGAACGGATGAAAAAAACTCAACAACAACAATACAGGAGGCAACTATAAAAAGATGAGCCAAAATGATAAAATGTGGTTTTGTCGTACATATTCATGAAGAGATTACAAATGATAATATTTTGAGATGTGGAAAGGAAATTAAAATCTGGATTTTCTTTTTTAGCATCATACTTTTTTTTATAATATTGTTGAAATAAATGATGCATTTATTAGTTAAGAATAGAAAGCTTTTTAGGGTTACACAGTTTGACCTTGTGAAAAACATAAACAAACAGAGGGGCTAATAATTCAGGGGGCTCTTAATTCTGACTTCAACTGTGTGTGTGTGTGTATGTGTGTGTGTATTAGGCTTGGGCGGTATCCAAATTTTGATACCGTCAAACCTCCTTCCTATTTTACCTCGGTATCCGGTATTACCATGCATAATAAAAAAAATTTTGACGTAAGGCTCAAAAAGCGTCACCAAATTGTTGGCTTGTGCCTAAACCAATCAGAAACTGAATACCGTATATCACCTGTTTGTCTTGTTCGTATTAGAGATCTGCGTGGGATGCTCTCTCATTCACGCACGTACGCACACACAGAGAGAGAGAGAGAGAGCACCACGTTCTCTCTCTCATTCACTCACACACACACACACACACACACACATACACATACACATACACACTCACACACAGGGTGACGCACAGCACCACACGCTCTCTCATTCACACACAGCCCAGCAGCAGGAACCTCAGACCTCTCGTATTTACCACGTCTCCCTTCTCGTTCGGAAATACTGCCAAACTGCAGATCACTTAGGTGCCGCGACTCTCCATCTTAAGCCTGGTTTATACTCGACGTGTCCGCTTGTTTGCTTGGGTGTGTGTGGCAAATGTGACGTCATCGTGAAGTTTGCTGATGTTCGCTTTGGGTCAGTGCGACATGATTTCGGCCGGCGTTGCGCAGGGCATTTCTTGAGCCTCGAGCGAACAGTGCACACAGCACCGCAACTGATTTGAGTTAAATTTAAAACACTTTGAAGAGATTTTGTCTGAAAAAGTAAGACTGTACACGCGTCGTTATGATCTGTGATCATAGGGATAGCCAGATAATCAATAATTCTTGCCTATAAATTGCAACAGCCGTGGGAAAGTAGAATGTTTTTGTTAAAAGCTTTGGAAAAAGCTGAAGGATAAGTTTGTTAAAACCAAAAGAGGTCATGGCAAAAGTGGAGACCCAGGTACACAATTACAGAATAAGTTTTTCCACCAGTCATAGGTTTATGAAAGATTTATATATTGCAATTTTGAATTTAAAACAATTTAATTACAAAACTATAATGAAGTCACAGAATTATTTATTTGATAACTGAAAAGGAATTTTTAAACCAATATACAATATTCTGATGGCCTGTTTTTTCAGGCTTTATTGGTGATAATTGACAGGAATGTTGGACCAACATTTGGCTTTTTAGCATAAGTATAGGACAGAAATTAGCCAGACAGTACTGTGTGAATTTATTTATTTATTTATTTATTTATTTATTATAATTTTTTTGTTTATTTAT